AACCAACAAAGAAGGAAGGAAGGAAGGAAGGAAGGAAGGAAGGAAGGAAGGAAGGAAGGAAGGAAGGAAGGAAGGAAGGAAGGAAGGAAGGAAGGAAGAAAGAAAGAAAGGAAGGGAAGGAGGGAGGGAAGGAGGGAAGGATGGAGGGAGATGGAAGGAAGGAAGGAGAGGGAGGGAGAGAAAGGAAAGAAAGAGGGAAGGAGGGAAGGATGGAGGGAGGGAGGGAGGAAGGAAGAAGGAGAGAGAGAGGGAAGGAGAGAGAGAGGGAAGGAGAGAGAGAGAGAGAGGGAAGGAGAGAGAGAGGGAAGGAGGGAGGGAGGGAGGAACATACAGCTTATTAGTTCTCTTTTTCTACAAAACTGTAATATTCTTGAGTCTTGAGTGTTAAGTCCAACCTGAAAAACATTATGCTTTCCAACAACAGAAAACTGCTCAGTAGACACGAACAGGGCTCTGTTTGCACTGGCTATCTAATCTAAAGATTCTATTTTTCACTATCATAAATTTATGAAATGCTAGGAAGATGTAAGATGAGCTTATATCTCAATCAAAAGTTCTACTAGCCATTACCCTATCTAACTTTAATGTCTTATTTTAATTCTCAGTCTAAATCAGTTGTAGATTATCATAATCAATGGAAGAAAAAATGAATTATGCTTTCACTTTAGAGACCTTATGTTAAAGGTACTTATAATCACATGAAAGTTTAAATAGAGAGTTTCAACGATAATGCAAGACAAATGAATTCTTTAAGTACAAGTTACAGAAACTACCACAATGAAGAATCAGAGAAGGAAGGGGAGAACTCTATGGTATTAGAACTGTCTTGTGAAACAGGTAGGGCTTTGAAGTTACCTGTCCAAATGGACAGTGCGAGGGAGAGCGATCCAGTTATGGATAAAGCACCCACACACAGTCAGACACAGTCAGAGAAAGGAAAGACAAAAGCTGACCTAGAACCAGTAAAGAGAATCACTGACATTAAGCACCTATTCTAGTAGAATCTGCATGTATAATCCATTATTAATATAAATAAATGAAATGGCTCTTATCACATCAACTGGTAGGATGCCATCTGAGCATAGAATTCTTTTTCATTTATTTATTTTCATAAAATCCAATTATACTTTATCAATATCCAACATGACAGTCATATTGCATTACCCTAACACACACACACACACACACACACACACACACACACACACACACACACAGAAATATATCTTCTTTTTTTGTTTTTTCAATTTCATGTACTAAACTTTTCCACTACAACCAACAGTAAGAGCTAAATTCTGCCCTGCAGATTTTGTTGTAAGAGAACCTGAAGCCAATAATCCTCACTCCCAAATTTGGAGCACACTAAATTTAATTATTTTGCTTGTCCTTTAAATAGGATATTACCAACTAAGTCATGAGTATGATAAAATGAAATAACCCACATGAAGAGCTTAGCATAGAAACAGATGAATAAATGTCAGCTCTGATAGAATTGCAGTGCTCTATGCAATGTTAAACATTAAAAGAAAAAAAACGTGTTTTTGAAGCCTGTATAAATCACATACAGCTCTTAACAATCTTAATGTACTTCCTTTGGGGATGGGGGAGGCATCTCGACAGCAACCTTCCAACCATTAAGGTGGATAAATGATGATTTATTCTAAAATCAACCTGGAGGAAGTTCACAAAGAAAATTGGAGATTGGACTTGTATCACTGGTACATTTTCTCTCTTTCTAGGCATAAGGAAGTAATAAGAAAAAAGTAATCTAGGCTTTCATAGATCTACAACTTAAAACCAAAGAAAATCACTAAGAAACAATAATAAAAAACATCACAACTTAAGTCATGGTTTTTTTTTTTTTAGTTCCACCAAAGGAGGAGGCAACAATGCTTGATAAGAAATGTACTCATTACCTTGCTCATGTAACTGTAACCCCTCTGTACAGTATTTTCACAATAAAAAAACTTATTAAAAAAAAAGAATTGGTACACAGTGGCCACTCCACCTTACAGCACTACTATCAAACTGGCTAGGAGGAGGGGAAGAAGGCTCTGAAGAGTGGGTGTGTTGTTGTTTTTGCATGTTTAATGCAGAAGTTCCTCTTAATCCTTAAGAAATAAAGACCTTTGAATATACACACAATCTCTGAATTGTCTCTACTAAATTTTGGCAGGGACATTGGGCACCCATGGAATTACAACTTTCTGGGATTATGGTGTTGATTCCTAGCTGTGCTCTGAACTTTATTTTGCTAACTGTAACTGAGTAACTGTAAATCACTATTGTATTAATGAAGCACTGGAATGTCTAATTCTAACTCATTATTAATTATGTTTGCAAATTGTCTTTTAAATAAATTGGTGTGTGATCAGCTATTGAAATTGTTAAATTGTACGGATATTATTCATGCCCACTTTATAAAAACCAAAAAGTTTGATCTTTGTCTGATAAATTGCTAAGTAATGTCAATAAATCAAGAATGAGTACTATAAGGCAAATTCAATCTTGCTTCAGACAATTGTCACTACAGCTACTAATTCAAATCCAGTATTCTTAATAAAGTGTTGCATACTCTGATAGGTTTTTTTTTCAGAAAAGTATGGACTATCAACAATTCATTGTTATACCATTAACTTTAAAGGAATTTTAAAATTTTACAAGTACAAGGAAAGGGAGAAACTCAGATCTACTCAGTTTTTAATGGTACTTTTAAGCCTTTCATAATCTGAAATGTTATTAAATAGCACTACACAAAAGGAAGCATAGATGTCAAAGGACACACAAAAAGCAAAAATTGAGACACGCCTGTAATCCTAGCTACTCAGAAGGCTGAGATCTGAGGCTTGCAGTTCAAAGCCAGCCCAGGAAGAAAAGTCCGTGACACTCTTATCTCCAATAAACCACCAAAAAACAGGAAGTGGCACTGTGGTCAAGTGGTAGAGAGCTTGCCTAGAGCTCAAGAACTGAGGGACAGGGTCCAGGCCCAGAGTTCATGCCCCATAACCCAAAACAAAAACACCACACAAAAGTTGAGAATAAAACTATGCTTTAGTTTAGAAAAATGCTTATTAGATAAAATAACCATTTACAATCAAAAGTCAGATTCACAGGCTTCTTTTCTAAACCCATTTCTCTTTAATGGCTGAACCATAATTTCAAATTATCATTTTCCTGACATCATCATTTTCTATATTACACTGTTTTGATCATAAAGGATATAGTTTATGTGTGTAGTCATTCTGTTTTCTAAAATAATCTATGCTATTAAGATTCTAAACCACAAAGAAATGGCACTTTACCAAAGAACACATTCCTGGTATATAGAGTATATGCTCTATTATGTGTGTGGTTGTGAATTCAATACCCAGCAACAAGAAAATAACTAAATAAGTAATTTTAAAATGGAGCCAGCAGTGGTTATAAATATCAAGTAATCCATACTTCACCACCATCTTTAATATGCATTCATACATATATACACCATATCTGGTGCCAGAATGATTAACCAGTGTTAAATGATGACTACTTGAATATTTCCTGTTGTAGTAACATGCTGGCTTAAGCACTGTACCTTTGACACCATACTTTGCCACTGTCACTGTCTTTTCTAATAATGTAAGTTGCTCTTATACTCCAGTTAGTTGTTACAATTACTCTGCCAATCTCCTCCAAATCTATATCCTCAGCACATATAGAACACTGTGGTTTTCATTAGGTATCACCTCTCTGTTTGTTTTACAGACAAAACTTCAATAATATGAATTTTTTTTTTTTGGGTCCGATCATGGGGCCTGAACTCTGGGCCTGGGCGCTGTCCCTCAGCTCTTCAGCTCAAAGCTAGCGCTCTACCACTTGAGCCACAGCGCCACTTCCGGCTTTTTTCTTTTTGCTTATGTGGTGCTAAGGAATCGAACCCAGGGCTTTGAGCATGCAAAGTAAGTGCTCTATCACTGAGCCACCTTCCCAGCCCAATAATATGAATTTTTATGATCACATTTCTTAATATATAATAGCCTCAAAGTTTTTTGTTGGCTTTTTAAAAAATATCTTCCCCTGAGGTTTGACTTCCAATCCATTTTTAGAATGATGCATATTTGAAAATAGCATTCTATTAGTTCAATTTGTCTATTACTAAATCTATGCAGAAAATAAAACCTGTTAATTATATTATTCAAGCCCTTTATATTCTTACTTTTTGCTTCCCTAATATGACATCTTTGAGAAAGATATGGGATAGCATTACCCACTGTGGTTTTGTTACATTTTCCTTCTATTCAAAATAGTTAGGAATGATAGGTTTTTATGCTGTATGGTTTGATGTATAAAAGATCTTGACTGTTAGAATTTCTACCAGCTAATATTAAATGTCAATATAAAACGCCTTTTTTGGTCCCTTGTATCACATCACTGCAGAATCAGGAGGTAATCCTTGCTTCCATTGTGTTGGCTCTGCCTGGTAGAACCCAGCTTATCCATTACTTTAGGCTGAATAAGGTATGTCTTCCCAACACAACATGATTATGTCTGCACTTAAATCTGAACTGAGAGCATTTAATTTTTGTGAAGAGAAATTATCCCCTTTATGGTTATTGTGTCAGCAATCTTTAACTAATAACTGAAATACTGTTTTTATCTTTCCTCTTTATATCACACTTTATTGTACTGTTTATCAAGCTATTTTAAGGTTCCCCCCAAATTTTATAGCAAAGTATAGCATGTCACAGGACATACTTTGCATGTGTCAAACTACTGCCACCTGCCCAAGTTTTAGTCCTTCACATGAATGAATACCAATGACTCTAATCTCTCTCTTTTATGCGTGCTTGATTAAAAGTAACCACAAAACACTGCATTTGGGGTAGCAACAAGAAGTCATTTTAAAACAAGACCACTTTGGCAAAAAGGCAGGACAAGTAACTTCATATTTAATTAGTAAGAAGTTCATTTTATTTATTGTTGCAACAAGTCTACATCCTGCAAAAGACGAAAATTCTTACCGTTTCTTTTGGAACCTGCATCTGGCTTGGCTCTGCACTCTAGAAGAATTGAAGAAAAACATAAATACAGACTGACCAAAGCCATCTTCAACACAGGGGACACAATGCTTTTATTTTAAGAGAGATTTTGTTGTAAAAATCCACAAACTATATGAAGGGCAAATGATTATATGATGGCTGGTTTATCACTCTGCTTTCCAAGTTTTCAATGATATGTGTGGTATTCACGTGGGGTTTTAGATTTTTTTTGACGTAAAATTCACTTGTTCTTTCCTAGAACATCATGAATTTATTATGTGCAGGAAAACAAATCTCACCAAACTGATTTCCTAATCATGGTACTGTTTCTAATTTTGTTTTTAATTTTCCCAACCAGATTTAAGTTTTAAGATGCAGGGTTATTTGATAGCTGGACAGATAGAAATCTGCACCATAATCTCAACCAGAAGATTTCTTTCACATATTACATCGGGGATAAATGTGATTTTTTAAAACATACTATAGACTACTTTCAAGGTTGGTACTTAGGTGTTTTTTTTACAAGGCACATTGATAAAACTATTTAGATGAAAGCTACAGAACTGAAACCGAGGCACCTCAAACAGAGAAAAGGGGGTTGCACTAATTGGATTTGAAGATCATTTTTTTAAAGTCCTATTTAAGTTTTCAGAATCGTATTCTTTTAAATCTTGAAAAGCAGCTAAAATGTGCATAATAGACTGACAGCCTACTGGCTCATTCTTTAATGAAAAGCTCACAAGCAATAAATTAAATAACCAAGAAAAAAAGAAAAGAAAGAGGCAGCAGACGGGAAAAACAGAAGCCTGGAAGATCCAACTTGGAGCAGAACCTGAGCAACCTTGGGCTGGCTCTATGCTGGCACTGGCTCTGAGAAAACTGCTGAAGAGCAATGTCTAAGTTTGGCAATCTAATAATGCTAACCAGCACGGCTTGGATCCACCCAAGATGAAAGCTTCCTCAAATCCCATGGAAAGCTTGGTAGTGGTTGGGTAAGTGCTCATTTACAATTTAATAGAGACATCTCCAGATTTAGGATCAGGTGGCATTTTAAGCACAAAATTGGATAGCAGTGGGGGGAAAATGGAAAACAGAATTAAAATTGAGAATGATGCTTTAAACATTTTTAAATATAAAGAAGTTTTCATAATTTATTCAAAATCAACCTAAAACAAAAGTGCTTACACTTCTCAAACCTATCCCAGCCTGAAATTTCCATAAAAGCACATAAGGATTTCTTGTATAACTAAGGTACAGGGGATTCCTAACTGAAATTTATCTTTATTTCTAAGAAATATCTATACAAATAAACACAATTTATACAAAAGAAAGTATTTTGCTTTTCATTGAATTTTTTTATCACCCATGAGACATCAATACTTAAAGTTACAACAAGAGGATTAGGTTATAATTTGGGAAGTGCTTTCTTAAAACCTTGCCACTTACTCTAGTTTATATTGATGAACTGCTATTTAGAGAAAGCTGAAAGGTAGTTGAAAAAGATATCAAATACTCTTAAGACAGCTCAAACTGAGTAGGTTTTGAAATATTTAAAATACCACTTTTACTTGAAATAAACAATGTTTTCACCATAGCAAAAGATGAAGGTGACTTATTCAATTATGTCACTTTTATATACAAAGGAAATCCAGCACTTTTGCAGAAAAATATTTAGAACTAGATTTTACATATATATACCAATATATATATATATGTATATTCCATTGCCACTAATACCACACAATGAGAAAGCAAAGTCGACAAGTTAGAACCGCTTCATTAATTTCTTTATATCATGCCAAATAAAGTTATCACTACTTGTAGTAGCCACAAGGCTTTTTTTTTATTTTCAGTAACACTATTTTTTTAAGGTATTCCTTTTTACACAACAGTAAGCAAGCAGCATTGGCTTAGTGACATTTACTATGAAACTATGAGATGTGGAACTATGCCATATGTAGATGAGAAGATGGCCAGATTTCAACCATATCATTTAGACTGACAGCTATGTACACTGATAAGTACTTCATTATCTAGAAAATATCCCTATGCCCTAATGATTAGATGTCTCTATATTAATTACAAAACATATGCATTTCTAAAATGTTTGTACTGGGTTAGGGCTGAAAGAAATGGAAAATATAGAAACTCTTTAGAGAAAGTCTCAATAAACATGCATCACCACATAGCAGCCCCAGACCCTGCTTGCGGGCATGAGAAATCATCCACCTCTCTACATTTACACACCAGTTCCCTTGGGTGGAAGGCATCTTCCTGTCGAAAGACCAGAAGGCTCACAGTCCCTTCCATCTTGGTGCTTCTAAGCAAGGAGACAACTTCTTCTTGTGATTTTCCGGCTAAATCAACTCCATTTACCTAAAACAAATAAAGTATTTTCATCTGTCATTCCAAAGAAGCAGATAAGAGAAGATACCATATCCAAAGTGAAATGTAACTCATTCCATACTAAATTCAGCCATAACCTAGTAACCATGACACTTCTAAGGCTAATTAGAAAAACAACTTAAACTAGATACCTTGAAGTAAGCTAGGAAGTAATAAATATTTTAGTGTTCATCAATAAACCAGAAGCTACAACCACCAGGGCATTAAGAATTAAGAACAAGGGCTGGGAAGGTGGCTCAGTGGTAGAGCGCTTGCCTTGCATGCATGGGGCCCTGGGTTTGATTCCTCAGCACCACATAAGCAAAAAGAAAAAAAAAAGGCCAGAAGTGGCGCTGTGGCTCAAGTGGTAGAGTGCTAGCCTTGAGCTGAAGAGCTGAGGGAAAGTGCCCAGGCCCAGAGTTCAGGCCCCACGACCACACCCCCCCTCTCCTACCCACACACACAAAAAAGAAATAAGAACGAACAGATAGATTTAAAGTATGAACTACATGCAAAACTTGATGAACTGAAGTGTTTTAGCTGCCTGGGCATTGCAGATTTTTTCAACACAAATTAAAGAAAGAGATGTTATTCTTAAAAAGTAGTAAAACTATATCAATAATATTTTGGTATAAATGTTGTAAGATTTAATGGTGTTTTAAGAACAGTCATGAAAAAAATTTGCTTTCCTAAATAGTAAACACTAAATATTACAAAAAAATGATGACAAAATAGTAGTAATCTGGGAAGAGAAGCAATAATTCATATCAGGTATTTTTTTGTTTTTATTGGTTTTGTTTTGGATTTTTTGTTTTTTAACTTTTAACAACACTGAGGTTTAATGCAGAGCCCTGTGGCTTGCTAGTCAAGTGTCCACTTGAGCCATGCCACCAGTCTTTTATTTTTGCTTAATTTTTTTGAGGGTCTCATATTTGTATCTATGTTGTCCTTGAGTACAATTGTCCTCTTTTTGCTTCCTAGTAGCTAGATTACAGCCATGTACCACCATTAACAGCTTTTCTTGGTTAGGGCTGGCCTAAAATCATGATCCTCCTGTCTTTACCTCTCACATAGGTGAGACTATAGGCATGAACAACTGCACCTGCTCATTTTAGATTATTTTTCAGTGTTATAAGAGTATTCTAGCAGGAACAAGAGTTTCAGGACAGATCTTAGTAATTCTCACTGCCTTATTGTTTCTAGATGAAAATAGTATTTTAATCAAGGCAAATAGTTTGAATTTGTAGTATCAAAGTTTCATGTCCTTAAAATATGATCTAAAACTCTGGCTTTTCTGTTAAAATGACGTTGTATAATTCCACATGCTGTTATTAATTCTAGGAAACAGGTAATGACAGTAGAGTTACAGAAAGCGAAAGGACGGGGCTTGGGTTTGGCTTAGCAGAAGAGTGCCTGCCTGGCAAGCTCAAGGCCCTGAGTTCGGGCCTCAGCAATGAAAAAAAAAAAGAAAAAAAAAAGAAAAGGTCCTAATTTGAAATATTCAGATATACAGCACCAATGTCTACTTAACTATCGATATTACATAAATGTGATTATAGGTTTTAGAATAGTGAGTTTGAAAGACACAAAATTAAAATTCTGTATTTAAAACGAGCCTGAAAACTACAGACTTAACCAACAGGTTGCAGGGCATTCTCACGACTTAAAAATCTTTGTGAAATACTGAAAGTAAAGTAAGTATGTGATGAAAGAGAGATGTAAAATCACAGGGATGATCTTTAGAAAAAGAGGAAGAGGAAAAGAAGAAGAGGTAAATGTAAAGGAAGAAGAGAAGGAGCAAGGACAGGCAAGCAGTGGAAGGGATTCAGCTAGAAGCTTACCTGGCTTGTGCTAGGCAATGTATCATACCAAGTTGTCAGTACTAACATAAAATTAAACAACAAAACATGTTTTAAGCTGAGTGTTGGTGGATAATCTTAGCTACTCAGGAGCTGAGATCTCGTTCAAAGCCAGCCTGAACAGCTAAACTCCATGAGACTCTTATCTCCAATAAACCACTCAGAAAACCAGAAGTGGCACCATGGCTCCATGGCTCAAGTGGTAGAGACTAGACTTGAGCTAAAGAGCTGAACATGTTTTAAGAAATTATTTTTTGGAAGTTAGGAAGACTAGATCCAAGTCCCAAACTAAGACTCTTACTAAATACAGAAAGGCCTGATAACTTAAACTAAATGCTCTTCAAAATGTGCTGATACATACATAGGACCAAAAGGAAGGACTTAAAGAGTTAAGGCCCAAAGCACAGAGACGGGGGAAAAAACAGAGAAGCTATCCTGTATTTCCTGTACCGTAAATAAATATTCTGGAGAATTCAATGTGAATGTGTTTGAAACCTACAGATAAATGGGCATAGTGCTAAGTTTACTTTAACATCAATGTTTAAGAAAAGTTGATAAAGAAACACAGTATCTACTTAATAAGAACATGGGCCATGAGAGGCTGGGAGTGTAGCTCAGGGTTAAAGCATTTGCCTGAGGACCTGGGTTCTATCCCAAGAAGCACAAAAACAAGCACAGTATATTTACTGTAGAAAACACTAAGAAAAAAAACTAATAAAATGTAATGTTTCTTAATCTGACCCCCTTTTATTCCTATGTGCACAGAGCAGATCTTCTCACAAATAGGAGTTAGGTATAAGTGTGTATTTCCATGATGGTGTCTAAGGTCAGTGAACAACAATGGCAAAACAAAAAACAAAATCATGAAAACAAAATTTGTTTTTTTAAAATTCTTCAAAATTTAACTTTTCCTGACTTGTCTCCATTCATTCTATATGACACCATATCAAACTTTTCAAGACATGATTCTTTATTTGCTTCATTTGTATCTGTTCTGATTACAAGGTAGATAGCTTTTTTACATTGCCAGACATAAATCTAGCTATATAAACCTACTTACACAGTATTTATAGTGACAAAACGTTACCTTATCTTATAAAGTATGTCTGAGTCACTAAAACTTTATAAGTAATCTACAGTAAAAGGAATCCTATCATTAGACAATAAGGAAAAATAGACAATAGAACTCAAATACAGTGTCTGTGATACATAATTCTGCTAAAATATGTAATTTCCTACTTGACAAAAAGTGTTAAAAATTGACTCAAACGGGAGCTTTATGGGCATCAGAAGACACTCACCTCTATCAGCCTATCTCCTGCCTTAAGTCTGCCATCTTGGATGGCAGCCCCTCGGGGGAGGATGTTCTTCACATAAATTGGAGCCGAGCCACCTATTGTCACGTCTCGTGAGGTGATGCTGAATCCCAAACCTTCTGTTCCTAAACATGTAACAGAGAAAAGTCAGCAAATAACATAGCTTCTTAATATTATATATGTATCCTCGAAAGTATCTGTTATTTTCTCTTCCTGAACCTCACATTTTGTAATGCTAACAATGATCCTTTATTCCTCTAATACTTTAAAAGTGGTAACACATTTTTCAACAGAGACTAAATTATAAAAGGTTCAAGCAGTTTACCTATCTTTTGCCAATCTTCTAAAAGACAAAAAAGCTTAATATAAATATAGGTGCCACATTTTTAAAATCAATTTTGTCTTTCAGTAAGTGGTGAACATAATTGTTTGACTCAAAGAAAAAATATTTCTCTTACAATTCTTAGTACTTTAAAAACAAGTTTTATCACACAAAAGTGATGTTTAGATTTGAAAAGAAGATGGACCAAGGAAAAGAAAAGATCCAGGAAGATGAAAACAGCAAAATAAATAATATTTTAAATAGAAGTAGCAGATTCTAACCAAACCACAATCACAGCAATTTGCTGAAATCTCAAACCATAGCATCTTTGTCAAGCTCTTTTCTAATTAACCTGTATCTTATTATATATTCCCCATCCTCATGAAAAAAAAAAAAAGCAAATTACTCAATGAAAACTTCATTTCTGATCAGTGCTACCTAATCTGGGAATCACATTATTGTGTTTAAAGGTACTGAAATTAATGAGACATTTGTAAATTACTCTCTGTTTTCTATAATTTAAATTCTTAGTTCTTTGACAGATTTCTTGACAAGCAATCTTCTAAACTCAAGACAGTGTAGAAAAGGGGTTAAATGTCAGTAGAATCGACATGTAATAAGCCAAAATGTGATAAGAAAAAAAAAAACTGAAGATAATAGTAAATTTCTAATGAACCACAGAATTCTCGTAACACTTCTAATAATGAGTAATCCCTACCTAAGCTTTGTTAAAAAAAACAAGCAAAACAACAAAAAAATTGGCTTCTTAACATATTAAGTTTTATTTCAGCTAGAAATCACTTTAGGAATATTGTCTGTCATTATGATAGAACAGAGAGATCTATAAAGAGCAAAAATCTAGAAGTGTGTATAATTTGACATTGCACTCATGGAAACTATGAAAAAAGTGTATAAAATTTGGAAGCAGAAAATTATAGGTGACTAAAGTGTGGATAAAAGTAGTAACAGAAAAGAGAAGCAAATACTCAGAAATACGTACAACAAAATCCACATAAATATTTCCAAGTTCAGACCAAACATTCATTTATTTCCACTCTAAAATCACTTTGATGTGCCTAGACTGTTAATTTATTCAGTCTTCCATGTTGAAAACCAGAATGGCATATTGTCTATATGAAATTTTCCTAATTATTCTTCTGGGACTTTTCCATATGTCTCTGTGCCTTCAAAGAACTCTAATGACTTGCAATAACATTTATTAAGAATGAACTCTAAATTATTCTTTTGCAATATTAATTTGTAGGGAATACAAAGACAGTTATATGAACCTCAATTCTATTAAAATATCAGCAATAACCCCTAAATCTGTAAGCTAAAAGTTCAAGCAATGACCTTTAAAAGAAAGATAAATAGATATCAATTTTCATTCAGCAAAGCCAACAAAAGATTTTGCTCTGACTGAAATAGATTACTGACCTTCTCCTCTGACTTTATTAAAAAGCTAATTTCTACCAAAGAGCAGGATGTTTCATAATTCCAAAATGGCAATAAATATTAAGAAATCTTCATTATGTGAACAGGAACACTGAAGCTACCCTATTTTGTCATATTCTATGACAGAGTTCCAAAAATATGCCAAGGAGTTGTTATTCTGAAGCTTTCTTAGCACTAAAAAGCACTAGGAATTTAAATAATTGCTGTCACTCCAAAGCATGTAACTTTGAACTGAATTTAGAGTTAAGACTAATGTGCAATGTTATTAATGTACTTTATTAAAAGTCTTAAATGTTTCAATAATTGGAAAAAAAACATTATGGGCTAGCTACAATGAAATGTATTTAATTCTCACGCAAAGATAACTATATTTAGTCCTAAACAAAAACAGTCCACATTCTTCTGCTGACCTAATTATAGTATATATAAGTTATATGTTTCTGTTAAATGCTTGTAAGTACTGGTAGCATGCACAGACAGGATGTACTTTGTGTTATACATTTCATTCAATAACAATCAAGATATATCCATGACCTGGGCACTGGTGGCTCACACCTGAAATTCTAGCTACTCAGGAAGCTGAGATAGAAAGATAGCAGTTCAAAACCAGCCTAGGCAGAAAAGTCTATGAGACGCTAATCTCCAATAAACAATTATAAATTCAGAAGTGGAGGTGTGGCTCAAGAGGTATAGCACCAACCTTATAGGAAAAAGCTAAGCAAGATCTAGTGGCCCTGGGTTCAAAACACAGACACACACACACACACACACAAAGGGAAAGAGAGGGAGGGAAGGGTAGGGATTATGGGGACTTAGGTTACACAAGATCAGAAAAATATTTAAAAGAAAATCAATGCTTCTAATTTTCTTACATAGAAATTAATTTGCAAATTAGCTTGTATAAATCCAATTATGCATCTCTAAATGCTATTAAAACAATACTACAAATTCTAGCAAATCAATTTTCACTTCATTAAAAAAAGTTCATATTAAGCCAGGGCACCAGTGACTGAAGACTGAAAACTCTGAAGACTGAAGTCTGAAGCTAGCCCTAGCAGGAAGGTACATGAGACCCTTATGTGCAAATAATCACACAAAATGCCAGAAGTGGAACTATGCCTTAAGTGGTATCCTTGAGCAAAAACATCCAGGGACAGTTTCCAAGGCCATGAGTTCAAATCCAAGGACTGGTGCATACACACTGTGGGCATGCATGCATGCACGCACGCACGCACGCACGCACGCACGCACACACACACACACACACACACAGAGTTCACATTATATTGCAAGGTATTATACATACTATGTGAAAAATATAATTAAATCCTAACTTTGATTATAAAAAAGAAACAGCACTTTTGAAGTAATAGTATGACAATGGTCAAAACAAAATACTATACCTTTGCTGAGAGATTCTAAGTAGAATTTGTTTTTATACAATTACATTTGTGGTGCTTGAAATATATATATATATATATATATATATATATATATATTTTGATTATGAACTAGTCTGTTCTTCAAGTACAGAAAAAAAGTGGAGGATCTGATCTTCTTCTGGTTTGGGATTGGGCAGTAGATAGAACACTCTTCTAGGGACATGCCTCTTATATACAGAGACAAGCTGTCAATATCTGGTTATGACAAGCAAGCATTTGATGCTTGAAAGCCAGTAACTAATGCTGCAATGAACATGGTTGTGCTGGTGACATTAGTGTGGGTTGGTTTGTGGTGATTTGGGTTAATGCCCAGGAGTGGGATTGCTGTGTCATTGGGAAGCTCTATGTTTAGTCTTTTGAGGAATGGCCATACTGCTTTCCAGAGTGGTTGAACAAGTTTACATTCCCACCATCAGTGTAGCAATGGTCCCTTTGGCCACATTCCTGCCCACATCTGTCATTATTAGTTTTCTTGATAAGGGCCATTCTAACTGGGGTGAGGTGGAATCTCAGTGTTGTTTTGATCTGCATTTCTTTTATGGCCAGAGATGTTGTTTACCATATCTAAGATATTGATCCAACCCAGATGCCCCTCAGTGGATGAACAGATCAAGAAAATGTGGTATGTACACACAATATATTCTATGCTTCCATCAGAAAGAACAACATTGTCCTATTCATAAGGAAATGGGAAGACTTGGAAAAAATTATGTTACACAAAGTAAGCCAGACCCAAAACATGTAAGCTGCATGGTTTCCCTCATTTCCAATAACTAGAATATGTCTATAAATGCACAAGTTAATCCAATGGATAGTAAAAGACAAATAATTACACTTGGACAAGATTAATTAAACTGTACTCTAAGCATCCTCACATTGAAAACAAAAGAGAATATTCTTAGAAGAGGATCAAAATGATGTTTATCAAAATAAACTCCTAGAAATGGAAACAAAAGGTTTTTTTTTAGTGTACTGTTTACGGTTCTTTCTTTTTCTCTATTTTTGATTTCTATACCTTTTATCTTGTATATAAGCTTATCTGATTTACGGAAGGGACAATGGGAAAACTAATTCAACTGTGATACTTAGTAGACACTATGTTAGAAATGAACTTTACAACGTAGGAGGAAGGGAGGGGGAAAATGTAGTAGAAAATGAAGGAGGGGGTAACACTGTTCAAAAAGGAAAGAAATGTACTCATTACTTTATGTAATTGTAACCCTTGTGTTAAAAAAAAAAAGCCAGTAAGTAGAAATAAAGAACTTGTAGTTCACATAAAGTTTAGGGAACAAAATGATTTAGAAAGGAAATTGTAGTTTCAGAGTTTACAACCTTGTAAACATTGTCCCAACAGGGCACCAGTGGTTCATGCCTATAATCCTAGCTACTCACGAGGCTAAGATCTGAAGATTGCAGTTTGAAGCCAGTTTGGGCAGAAAAGTTGGTGAGCCTCTTATCTCCAATAAAACCTTAGAAAAAGCAGGAAGTGGTGATATGGTAAAGTGCTAGCCTTGAGCACAAAGAGGTTGAGGGACAGAGACCAGGACCTGAGTTCAAGCCCCAGGACTGGCAAGAAAAAAGAGGAGGAGAAGGGAAGAAATGAAAAGGGAGGGGAAGAAAGGAAAAGGGAGGGGAGGGGAGGGGAGGAGAGGAGAAGAGAAGGGAGGGGAAGAGAGAGGAGGAGAGGGGAGGGGAGGAAAGGGGAGGAGAGGGGAGGGGAGGGGAGAGGAGAGGAGAGGAGAGGGAAAACATTGTTCCAAAAGTAAAGAAAAATGGTTTGATGTCAGGAGATAGAAAATGTTGCAGTATGAACATGCTTCTGATACCATGTAATCTAAAGAAATCACTCTGCATGAATTTATATCCACTGCAAAAGTTAGTTGAACTCATAAAAATATTTTATGTAATGACACTATTTTGAAAGACATGATTATAAAATATATCAAAACCCTATGCACATGGACCCAGTATCCATGGGTAAAGGATACTTTAGTAAATTCCAAGAAGGCAGTCTAGAGTCTCAGTGACCTGCTAGGAACCCACAACAGCCTCGGACATCTATCTGGGTCACCAAAATGCTGGGGCTGGACTGGCCAAGCTTTACAATCTTCCTTAAAACCTGTGTCTAGATAGCAAGTGGCCAAGTCAAATGATGAAATAAATCCTTGCTGTGGTTCTGGGTTTGACAGCAAGGCCATGAAATGTCTGTCATTCATGATCAAAATCTTACCATAACACTTTACTTCTCGTTCCTTGTAAATGTATGCTATAAAGTTTTAGTCTTTGAATTTTGTATTTTTATTCACATGCCACAAGATCAATCTGAGAATCATAAAATGTAATCTTATATAATATGTTCAAAAGCAAGTTACTGCTGGGCAAAGTGGTGCCTGCCTACAATCCTAGTACTCAGGAAGCTGAGCCAGGAAGAACATGAGGTCAAGGCCATTTGGGGCTGTATGGTAAAATAAAAATAAAAATAAAATAAAAAAATAAAAAAGCAAGTTGATTTTAAAACTTATACAGTGCTGGGCTGGGGATGTTGCTCAGTAGAAGAGCACTTGCCAAGTATATGCAAGGCCCAGAATTCTATTACCCAGCAGCACAAAACAAAAGTCAAGATGTTTTTAGGTGGTTAGTTTTTCTTTAAAAGCAATTGCATCAAACAAGTAAATATGACAGGTGATACCTTTTTTAAGTTGGATATTGAGTCGCTTGCCTACTTTCTTGGTGTTATAGCCACTGCTTGCACTGGAACTAAATACATTCTGTGGGACCAGCACTGGGGCTGATGGTGGCTTGGTGGAAGGGTGTGCACTATGAGGTAGTCTTGGGGGAGTGTCTATATGCTCAGGTGGGTGGTTCATTCTGGACGCTCTCTGCAATGCATGAGGCCCAGCACTGTTCACACTCCTATTATCCGAATACTGGCTGTCCGGGCTGAAGCGGCTGGAATAGTAGTTGTTCTTCTCGCTTTGGGAGAGTTGTTCATACTGCTCTTTATTTGAAGCAGGGACCACATGGAACCAAATGATGGGTGTACGCATGGCTTGGCGGAACATATGTTGTGCTCTGGGTATGAGAAAAAAAAATGGAAAATTAGCAAATGAAGACTGGCAGACTAGAAGATATCATGAGCTTAATTAAGTATACTAATTAAGCAATAAGAACCGACAGACTGTTGAAATTGAAAAGCAAAATTCTGATAACCCATTTATTAATTAAGTTTGCAAGCTCTGATATCAGCAGAGCTTGTTTCTCCAAATATAATTTCTCATTCTCTAAATAAAAATACTAGAACTATCTATGACAATAAAATATTGTGCCTTTACTTTCAAGATTTTTAAATACAAGCATATTCTAATTTTAATATTAACAAAATCAAACACGGTCTTTCTCTTACAATATTACCCAACAACTTGTAAAAATCATAAAATAATTCCTTACAAAGGGACCATTTGAGTTTTCAAAGTAACAAGTATCTGTATACTTAGGAAGCTATAAGAAGCAATTAGCTATTCATTACTTACTACCAAAATTAATTCAAGTATGAAAAATCCCACAGTAACACAGCACTAACTGGTAGCTCATGTCTGAAATCCTACCTAATAGGGAGGTGGAGATCTGAGAATTGAGGTTCAAAACCAGCCTGAGCAGAAAAGTCCATGAGAACACCCCTATTAACTAACGAAATGCTAAAATTGGGCATGTGGCTCAAATAGTAGATTGCCAGCCTTGAGTAAAAAAGCTAAAGGACAGCATCTAGCCCTTAAGTTCAAGGCCCATCACTGGTACAATTTTTTTTTTTTTAATCCCAGAAACATGAACCCCCCCCCCCTCCAAGCCAAACCAACAAAAAACAACTGAAACACCTAGGGAGGCATAGCTCAGTGGTAGAGCACCTGCTTTGCAAGTATAAAATCCTGAGTTCCATCTGCAGCTCTGCAGGACAGGACACCAACCCAGCCAAAATTGTTCCAAGTGTTAACCAGTAGAGTGGACCGAGGACTATCTCATAACTAGTCTAGGAGGGGCCTCCAATCAGCTTTCACAACTTGTCACTTTTCCAATCAGCTCTCCCTTATTTGCTTAATAGGAAACAGCCATTTTTCTTTAATGAATAGAGCTGAGTCACAATAAAAAGAATTTGAATAAGGCACAATATTTACTCATTTATACTGTGACATTATATGCAATAACATTATATGCAATGAAGTTGGAAATATGAGTCTGAACAGCTGAGCCCGGTGGTGAACTTTTTAAAAGGTGAGAAACCAGCAGAATTGTCAAGCCTAACTTGGTCCCATAACATTTTAAAAAGCACTCTATTGGTCAGATGGCATTCTGAAATATACACTAATGGTAGTAATTAACTTGAGTTGGGTTAAAATTTTAAAAGCTAGATAATGGCATAAAACACTCCTTTTCAGTACCCAGGACTCAGGCATGCTAGAGCGCGGCAGCCTAAATCGAAGAAGGATCATGGCACAGTCTCATACACTTACTGTTCAAATCTTCTATTTCGAAGGTCACCATCATTAATCCTGACAATGCAATCATTCTCATGAAAAAGATTTTCTTGCTCAGCTTTACCACCTTTCTCCAGTCGCTTTACTAACAACCCCAGGGTTCTGGAATGTTAAGAATTCACATGGTTACACATATAGTAGTTTTACTATACACAAGGCCTTATTGCTTTAATGATGGCATGGTATATTTAAAGATTCCTTTATAAGAGGTTGCTTTATAGATAATTACTATATTTTAAATAACACTAGAAAAAAATTCACAACAGTCTAAATGATATGTAGAAATGGACATTTTCAATAAATGTAAGATAATTTTCTAGTTCATCACTATTACATCTCTCAAGCTAACTGTATACTACCCTCTCTGTTTGAAAAGTCTGTGAAGAAGTGATAGAGGGACTGGGACTGACTGGAGTATATTTTAAACATGTATGGGAAGGCAACATGAATCCCCTCTCCCACAACTAATGTAAGATAATATAAGCTTACATTATGTAAGCTCCAAATAGAGCCTGTCTAATGATTCAGAGGGTACAGTAGTGTGGAGCACAGATGAGCATATGACTTTGGCTGTCTTGTTTGGTATGCTGCTAATGAAAATCTATGTCTTTCTATGTAGAAAGGCAACAAGAAATGGCGCGCATCATTGAATAGAAGTTTGGGAAGGTTAATTCTTGTTAGAGCTCTTAACTAAGGTAAGTAAGTTGCTACCAGTTTAATTTGAAGGAAAATATGGTTCAAATCATGCCAGTTACAATTTACCTCTTTCTTACACATGTAAGCTAAAGATTACTCAAGCTAAAGATTAAGTAGCAGTCTAAATAAACTTAGAAACTAAGAGGAAAAGAAATACTAATGTAGTTTGTCTAGAACATAAGCTTCTTTTTTCCTTTTTAAAAAATTATCTTCAAATAGTTGTAAAACACTGTTTCAATTTAACATGTCCATTTCTGTGCTCAACGCATCTTGATCAGAGCCATCGCTTCAATCATTCTTCCATCTCTCCTATCACTTGTCTCATCAAGTTTCTAATTGTATTTTTACATATGTACTTTGAGTATTATAACTTTATCAGCCATTCCCTCTTTCCATTCAACCGGTCCCTTCCTGTTAGCCTCAATCTCCCTTAGTCAAGACATGTTTCAGCTTTCTGCTATTAACTTTGTTAGACCATCTTTTAATTATTCAAAGGGGTTATACCACGGAATCTTGCTCCTGTGTATATTACACCTTAGTCAGTTGGCTCTATACACATTTTCATCTATGTTTACATTTCAGATCTAATATCCACATGAGACAAAACATGCTCCCTTTGTCTTTCTGAGCCTGGTTTACTTCATTCAATATGATATTTACCAGGTCCATTCATTTCCCTGCAAATGACATACTATTATGCCTAATAGATGAATAAAAGTGTATCATGGGGGGGGGGAGATATTCTCTTGATTTGTTTATTGGTTGTGTGGCTCCAGGGCTGTTTCTTGGCTAGTGTGAATAATGCTCCAATAAACATGGATGTACAATTGCCTTTACTATATTCTGACTTGCAATGTTTCAGATAAATACATAAAAGTGGTATTTCTAGGTCATAGGGTAATATAAAGTTGTTGTGTTTTTTTTTGAGGAATCTCCATACTGCTTCCATATTAGATGCACTAATTCACTTCCTACCAACAGTGTATGGTCTCTTCTCCCCCGCATTGCTGCCAATATTTACTGTTTGAATATAAGTTTCTTAACTTCCAAGGCAGGGTACTCTATGTATCCTGGGACAAACAATAAACACTTTTTTGAGATGTAGGTGTTTATAACTAGTTGTAACTGCTATTATTTACTTGTTGATTGACAAACATTCTGTATTATAATTCCATGTTAAGTTAGACTCCACTCAAAAAGCCAATACCAAAATTTAGAATTATTCATATATTAAAATTTAAGACAGTATAATTCCTAATCAATTCTATACACTTTCCTTTTTTTCTTTTTTTGGGTCTGGTTGTGGGGCCTGAACTCTGGGCCTGGGCGCTGTTCCTCAGCTCTTCCGCTCAAGGCTAGTGCTCTACCACTTGAGTCACAGCGCCACTTCCAGCTTTTTTTCTTTTTGCTTATATGGTGCTGAGGAATCGAACCCAGGGCCTCAGGCATGCAGAGCAAGTACACTACCACTGAGCCACCTTTCCAGCCCCAATTCTATACATTTTCTAGTAGAACTGCAATTTGCAATACCCTGTGTATGTTTTCCAGTAGAAATATATTCTATCAGCTATCGCTTCCAAACTTTGGCAGCAATTATTGTATCTTTTCTATAACCATTTATCTCATTTACCTGTCACATACACACCTTATCTCTACTACTGCATTTGTAAGCTACTAGAAGATGGAGAAGATGGGATTCAATAATATACACTCAAGCACTTAGCTAGTAGTAAGATCTGATAAATGAAACTAAATGAATAGATGATTGAGTTTGGCTGAGGCAAACAAGTCTCATAATTCCAATATGCCTCTGCAATACAGAATTCAGTCAGCAGAATGCACATATAGAGCTTTTTGATTTCCACTAAAGTATCATTTATCCTAAAGATATCCTTGAACTGAATTAAGTTGAAGTAAAAATCCTACTTCACTTTTTATTTTGCAGTTTAACCTTAATTTTGTGAATATTTATAAACCTCTCAATTTAATTCATTTAATTTATTTAATAAATTACTATTTATTATCAAATATGTTAAAGAGGCATTATATGAGGGCAGAGTCTATCAAATTCCAAGAAGAGTAAAAAGAGCTAATTCATAAATTGTCTTTTGTAAACTTACCAGTTGAGGATTAGCATCTGTTAGTTTTGGGTCCAAAAGCTATTAATTGTGAGTTGTTAAAAGCAAGTAGGTAATTTTTGGTTTCTGACTACCACATACTGGAACTAAGTAAACATGTAAAAATTATCTCAACTAAAAGGTAATGGGCATCAGAAATTTAAGTGTCTCAATTTATATTTGGGAAGAATAGATCCTATAATATGTGACACCAATGATAAAGTTATTATTAAAATACTACCATGTTCAAATCTATCCCTTCAGCTTTCGTATAGTTTGTATCTACCTTCCTGTGATCAATCTGCAGTTAGAGGAATTGAGCAAATTGTTAGAATAGATCAGCCGAATGTGGTGTGGCCCGCCTACAAGTCTAGTACTCAGGAGGCTAGGCAAGAGCATCACAAGGTTGAGGCCAGCCTGAACTACACAAGGAAATCCTGGTTCGCCTCTCATAAAATGCAAAAAGAAAAGATAAAAAGAAAAAAATATCTAGCATTCTGGTGATTAGACAATGTTTATATGAGAAATCAAATCAACGCTGAAGTAACTGGAATGTGAAGTCATTTAGCCACTTTAGCTTCACAGCAATGATGAAAAGAACACCTTGGAATCAAAGAAGCCTCAGTCACCTACAGTTAACACTAACATAACCACACAAATGCTGGCACACTATTGCAAGATGCTTCCTCTGCTGATGAAAAGCCCTCCATTGTTTTCCTGGATATATTTGAGGCAGTCTGTCCATGTACACCAGGTTAGGCTCAAACTCATATTTTTGTGCATTAGCTCTCTACATGCAGGGATTGCATGTGTACATACAATGTTTGACTCACAGGAATCCCTTTTTAAAGTGAATGCAAAACCATCCTTATAGCTCACTTTTAATTGGGAAAACTATTGTGACCTCTCAATATACTGACATTTCTGTAACCTAAAGTGACTGATAATTATTGTTCTTATATATTTTAAGTATTTTGTATAATTTTAAATAGTCCACAGAAAGTTTCTTGAGAAATGTATACACATATACACACAAAACTGTGTGTGTATGTATGTACTTAACAACATTTATTTTGCAGTTAATTAGTACTGACAACATGTGTAAATTTGTGAATTTATTTCCAATAATTCCTTTCAGTACTTACAGCAGTTTAAAAATAGTATAACTATACACAAGGCCCTGGGTTAAAATCCCAGCATAAAGGAAGAAAAAGGAGAAAGAGATAAAGAGGAGGAGGGGGAAAAGAAGAAAGAGAAAAAAAGGAGGAGGAAGAAGAGGAGGAAGAGGAGGAAGGGAAGGAAGATAAGGGGAAGAGGGAAGGAAGGAAGGAAGGAAGGAAGGAAGGAAGGAAGGAAGGAAGGAAGGAAGGAAGGAGAGGGAGATAGAGGAATATCCAAATACAGCTGCTGGTTACATCTGTAGTCCCTATTCAGCTTACTTGAGAGGTTTCCTGGAGGGGTAGAGGCAAGAAGATCACTTGAGCTCAGGAGTCCAAAGCTCGTCTGGGCTGGCTATAGTAAGAAGTGTTACTAGTAAGAACTATTTCTAACTCACTCAGTAAATAAACTAGTATAACTCACAAATGTATATTTTAATCTTGCAGTGATACCTGTAATCTTTTCATATACACAGACAAATGGACTTAAATTCATCTGGAAAATTATTTTTCCTGGTAACCATACTAAAATATAGATCCAAATATCTGTGCTTCATCTGCTGAATGGCTGACTTTCTGAAGAAGTCCCTCCACATGGCCGAATGCATGAGCAATCCTAACATACAGAAAATATTACCAATTTAATAAAGGGCCTATCATACTGACAGGAAAAATCATGGGAATTTATTAACCCAGTGTTAGCATCTACAATCTATAATAGTCACAAAAGTCTCCAACTTCTTTCACTCAGTTCTGTCATCTGCATAACGGGTGGAGAGGCACTGGCTGGAGAGGGGAGCCCAGGGAGGAAGAGCAGCAGCTCAAGCAACACAGCAAGAGATCAAGGAATCAGGAACAGATTGAATTAAAGTGATGTTAGCAGCCTGCTGATTCTAAGTACTTGACCACACTATTAAAATCATTCTCTCAAAAAGAATGAATTAATTTAAAAGTAAAGTGGTACAATCTGCAATGTTATCTCATTTACTACACTAGGTGAAAATGATTACAAAAGGAATGGGAATGAAGAAAAAAACCAAAAGACAAAAAATCACAAGAAAATTGCTTTGATAACAGCAAGACTAAGAATAAAAAGCACATCTGAAGGCAAATCCAGGGCAAGTGGCAGTGA